ATAATCGGTTCTGGTTTAGGGTATGCAGAGGAGCTTTGATGCAGAAATCCACATTTTGATTTCTTCCATGTATTTATCCAGCCAGGGGGACATCTTAATGTACAGCTGTGTGTCATCTGCATAGTTATGGTACTACATGTTGTTGAGTCTGAGTCAGGGAAAGCATTTAAATATTGAATAGAAGGAACCCTCCTTGTGGAACGACACATGAGTTTTTTTGTCGGTCTCCGATGCAAAGTTACCTACTGACACAAACAAGTCCCTGTTCTCCAAGTAGGATTTAAAATAGTCAAGTGCTGTAACAGAAAGGCCGACTGGAGGATCGTTCCACCTTCACCACTGTGTGTTTAGATTTCTATAATTTTTATTATTTCCAGATTTAGTTTAAGTTCTTCCATTTAGAAATATATTTTCTATTGTGTGCACACTTTAATGTGTCTGGTTTACTCACAATTGTTTTTTTCTCTGAGGTTCTGCAAACGCAGATCAGCTGAAGGGGGAAGGCAGCATCAAACCAATTTCCCAGAGAGCTGAGGGGGACATTTCGTTCAAGTTGACCTTTTTTTGTTAATTTTTGCTAATTTAAAGAGTTCTTTATTTGTTTAATATGTTTTGTATGAATTTTTGATTTGTTGTTTCTCTGTTATATTGTGCCTCCCTCGTGTGGCAGGTTTAGGTTATTTCACCCCTATCTAAGTAGCCTCTGTTTTTTGTCAGTAGGTAAGTTTTTTGCTTGAGGCAGTTACTGTTTACTTGACCTCAGTTGAGTTGGGCCCAAATCCATTTTTTTTTTTTTTATTTAAGCCATTTTGTACAAAAATTTGAGCGTTTGTGAACCTATTTTATTTTATTTTTTTTACATTGTTGAATCAAAGTTTTTTTCAATTTTGACCACTTTTGTCCTTATTTAAGTTTGGTCACTCACACCGACCCAGTTTTCCAGGCAGTCTGATAAAATAGAGTAATCAACAGTGTTGAATACTGCACTAAGGTCTAAAAATGCAGCACTGTGGTTCTTCCACAGTCTGCTGTTATGCAGCTGTCACTGAACATATTAACTATGGCAGTCTCTGTACCGTGGTGAGCATAAAAGCCTCACTGGAAGTGTTATGATCATGCATTCTGGACTTCTTTTGTTTCTGTTCAAGTTTTTTTTTTTTTTTTGGGTTCATTCAGTTCAGTTTATTTATATAGCGTGAATTCACAAAACATGTCATCTCAAGGAACTTTACAGTTCACCAGATCATACAGTCAAACTGATTCAAAGTCTTCTATCTAAGGAAAATCAATTTGATTGCATCGACTCATTAACTCAAATGCAATCCCTTACTCCAAGCATGCTTGCAGCGACAGTGGAGAGGAAAAACTCCCTTTTAACAGGAAGAAACCTCCAGCAGAACCAGGCTCAGTGTGAGCGGCCATCTGCTGAGGCCGACTGGGGTTCGAGGAGACAGAAGCAGAAATACAAAAAGCAGCTGTAAAAGGCGGCCCCGTCCAGGAAACACACAGCCAGGCAGACGAGCTCCGAGCCAACTCCCATGTCAGAGGATGAAGAGAGCACATCCAACCAGTCACAGTCAGAGAAACAGGACTACACTGGAAATACACGCTGATCTCCAACATCTATAAACAAACACAGGTGTTGATGGAAGCAGCACAGCTGATTTTCTCTCCAGGATGGTGTCACAGCCAAATAGGAAGAGACCAGATGAAGCTACTATGAGAAAAAGCAGAGAGAGCTTAACGTAAGACATATAACTAACAGATTCTGCAGAATGGGAGTATAGAGATAGAATTAAGCAGAATGATGAAATAGGGGTCCCTATGTCCTCCAGAAGTCTAAGCCTATAGCAGCATAACTATATAGATAGCTCATGATAACCTGACCCACTCTAACTATAAGCTTTATCAAAAAGGAAAGTTTTAAGCCTACCCTTAAAAGTAGGTTAAAAGCTTCTCATGCTTTGTTTTGTTCTGTGCTGTTGTCTAGATTTCCTAGTTTTGTCAGAAGCTCGAAACTTTGGATCAAATATTCAAAACAGACAGATCTGAATGTCCTTATTTCACTAACAGCGTGTGGCTAGAGCGGATAAACCGGATCTTCTGTAGGAACAGAAACTCAGGTCAGTGACTAAGAATAAAGGGCTGATAACTACGAAAGCAGTAGTCACTGACCTGGTTCAGAATTCAGTCTAACCCCAGAAGAAGGAGATGAATCCTCACAGACACGTCCTCCACTTGCAGCGGACGCCGCCCCTGGAGCTCTGGGTGATGAGCGGAGCTGAAGTCAGCCGACACCAAGGAGCAACAGTGTCAAGAAGGGAATATTCAAAGCTGAAGTCGTAGCAGAACCAAGTTCACGAACCAGAGCCAATGAGGTACAGAACAGGAATCCAAGCAGAGGTCAGTAGCACAGTCCATGTTCGGTAAGTAAGTAGAATCCAGGAATCAGTCCAGAAGAGAGCAGATTAACAGAGCCGACAGTGACACAGCAAAACTCGGGAACCACCACAAACGGGTCAGAATGAGAAAATCAGAACAAAGGTCAGAACGCTAGAGTTACTCACACCGAAACGCTTGAATAATCTGGCCCCTGTAGCTGGAAAACACCAGTATATATAGGAGCTGGAAACAGGTGGATTGGATAAGCAGTAATGAAAAACCTGGGAGAGTTAAACAGGTGAGTGGAATGAGTAATCAAGCCAGCCACTAGTGCCAGGATCATGACAAGCTTTGCTCTTCTTGGATATCCCTTTTCTTTATAAATGGTATTGTTTGTTCTCTGGTCTAGTTTCAGTTACTTATTATCCTTTTGTCATGTCTTCCAAAGCCTTGGTTGTCTTCGTGTAGTTTTTTGCCCTCTGGTCATTCCTTTTGTTTTAGTCATTTGTCTGTTCTCTCCTTTAGTCTCATGTAAGATCTGTCTAGTTACCTTTAGATACTGTTTATCCTGCTTCTTCTTTGTTGCCCCCTAGAGCCCTTTCCTTTCACCTTAGCTCCTTCGAGTTACCTCTGTCTAGACCTGCTCACTATTAGCTAATTTATCCTCCCATTGTTCTGTCTTCTGAAGCAATACATCTTCAGTAATCTTACTAATGAAGTAGAGGTATGAGATAGGCATGTAGTTCTGCAGCAGTAGCTTGTCTAATTCAAATATGAACCCTAGCTATCTTCTGCAGGCACCTTCTGCAAGTTTGTTTCACTTCACCTTGAAAGAAATGTCAGCAGGAACAGCCAAACATTTAGAAGAGGAAAAGCCTTATGTGTAATGATCCAGTCAGAAGACCCAAAGTTTCAGCCAGAACACAGAATAAGGATTTAAACAGTTTATTAAAAACTCAGGACATCAGGAGCACATCCGTGGGTCAGGGATTTCTAAGGAGGGAGATTTAGGTTAGTGGCTTGAAGGAGTTCAAATAATGAAAAGCATGAAACCAACAAAACCACTAACCTTAAAAGAGTCCTCCCTTCAGCAGCATGAATAGAGCAGATTTCTCCTTAAAACTGTTGTTGGGTGGCTTGGAGCACAGAGGCAGGAATTAGGTCCAGGAAGCCAGACTCAGGCTTTAGTGAACAGGGAGCTTGGCAGGAGGCAGAAGTCAAGAGGCAGAAACAGGGTCGTTGTCCAGAGGGCAGAGAAATCCAAAAAAGGGCTAGGCAAAAAGGGAAAATCCGTGAAGCAAAGACTTGGTCAGGTAACTTTAAGTGCTGGATACTGCTTGCTAGTTGGTTTGCAATTATCTGGCCCTGTCTGCCTGCCACAGGCTGTCTTATAACTGCTTGAACACAGGTGAGAGACATTCTGCTGATTGCACTGCAGTGCAGCAGGCAGCAGCTGGAGATGATTGCTCACAGGGAGAGCAGAGCAGGCAGACAGGCCAGAATCATAACATTATGCCCCTGTCACACCTTGACAATTTATACATATGCTTGACATGTGGAAAATCTGGCAAAAAACTCTTGCATACATTGGATAAGTTCTGGGTATGTTTTGCATAATTTATGAGCACGATGAAATATGTTGACATACGTCGACATACAGCATGTACGTCGAGAAGTATGCGAGCGTATGCTCATATGTGGGGCAAAAGTTACAAGTAAGTTATTTGATTGTTGACTCACATTAATAGTTACTCATAAGTCGAGCACGACTTATGAGTGTGCGTAACTGAGTGTGCGTAACTTATCAAGAACCTATTAGGAACTTATCTCCAATGCATGTCAACATATTTGACATGTTCCAGACGGCAATTGAACGTATTTCCAACGTACTGCTACTGTATAAAGGCGTATTGGCAGCGTTTTGGTATAAAAGAGGGTTTACAGGAGGAAACCGTCAGTACCCCTCCAGACTTTATCCGCATCATAGGGTGGTGAGAAGGTGAACGTGATATATCCTCCCTGTGTTCACACCCACAGCCACGACCAACAATCTTCCTAGCAGACATGACGCAGAATCTTCTGCGACTGCAAACCTTCTTTCTTTGTTTTCCTTTTTTTTTTTTACCGGCGCTAAACAGCAGCTAGGTTAATAAAGTGATCAAAGTTATCTTTTCATGCAAGCCAGGCGCCTCTGGACGCATTGCTGCCCCCCCTTGGGACACTGGCTTGTGCATCATCCATGGGCATCACGCTGCTGTGCGTTATGCATAAGTTAGGCTGTTGTTGGTCATAACTTCTGGACTCATTATGAATATGCTATATATACGTCCAAAATTGAAAAAACACATACAAAGTTCAGCATTTTAGAAGATTCTGGGACGTCAGGCAGATGCTGTCTAAATCAACAAGGTGTGACAGGGCCCTAAAGAAAAACCAAGACTTTAGTTTGTTACCATAGGTTTGGGTACACTTAGGTTATGAAACAGAACGTTGATCCAAATCCAACCAGCAAGTTCATCCTTGTACATCCTTTCTACTACTGGGGTATAACTTTCATAGAGATGTCAATTTAAAATGCTGTGTCATATAATAAATAGATAATCAGGGAAATTGGTGATAAAAGGGCTTTTATTTTTTTAATTGAAAAGATCAGCAATATTGGTTATACAGGAAAGCCTAAATGCAACAAAAGCTCTTCATTGTTTTCAGCTATTTCTATACACTGTATTTTCAAGGGTGTTCTCTTATCCACTAAACATATGTTCACTGAGGTTAAGTCCGTGAGCTGGCTGGAAACTCCATAACTTTTTATCAAATACATTTCAGCTGAATTCCACAGACCATTTTAACCAAAATAAATTACTACTGTTGTCTAATGACTTAATGTTCAGCAGACAAATGGGTCTGATGCATTCCTCCGCCACTCCAAGACAAAATAAAGGAGTTCGTGGTTAAATCAAATTGCAAGCAATAGAAATGGTTTGAATTAGGGTTTGGACTGAATGATTGGTATCCCACTTGTCTTGTGGCCTAGGAATTGTTTACAAAGTAAAAAATATTCAATGTAGGAAAAGTAATTGAGATGTCTCTCTTTTTGCCAAAGTATAAGTTTTATTAACATTTAAAATAGTCATTCCACAAAAGAAAATTAAAAACAATCCACTGGACTTTGTTTCCAAGCATTTGTCACCAGCATTTAAAATAGTCTTTTACAGTAATCAAAGTTGTATTTGTATCTTGTTTAATGACAGTTGTCATTAGCTGTGTCTGGCAGTAAGACATCTTTTGTTTTGTCCCTCACGGTCTTAAGGAAGGTCATGATGCCTGAGCCACCAGTGCCTCTCTCCTCTAGAGATGTGGGGGCTCTGCTGACCATTTCCCCCTCTGATTCTTGGCTGTTGTTGCGCAGCTGTCGAGCTCGGGCAGCAGGTACGGTGATAAAGCGACTAACAACATTGATATGGTAGCTACGCAAGGCTAACAGTGCTGAAACGCAGACATCAAAGGCCTTGTTCAGGTCCTCATTGGCCTGCTGTTGGACAAATCCCCTCAGAGATGGTTGCAAAGAGATGTCATGGATTAGTTTTCTGTGGGCAGGTGGCATGTAGTTCCTCATGCGGGTTAGAAATTCACCTAAAGAAAAGACAAGATGATCACAGCGCATCATCTTTTCCAAACCCTTATTGTGATTTTGAATAAAAAATTTTAGTGGTCTTACAACAGTTTTCTTCATGTTGGACTCCTAGTAGTTCATCAAAGCAATGCAGCAGACTACTTTGTGCAGCACTTCCCCCAGAACACTCTATTGGTTCTGTCTGCACTCCTTCGTAAACAAGCCCCTGTGGCATACAAGGGTTGTCCTTCCACCTAGAAGTATATAAATTAAATAATCGTTTGCAGAGCCTTATAAATGTGTCCAAATTGTTGAAACTCAGTCAGGTTACAGATTTTACAAGATAAGTGACGGAAAAGAATAAATTTGCATTGTTTTCAAACATTTTTAGAAGTGTTTCAGAAAGAGTGGTGTTTACCATATTAGGGCTCCACCACTGTAAAACACAATGATGGCCGCATAATGCTGTGGGAATTTTTTTTCGCAAGGACAATAAAAGGGAAAGGACAGGGAAACTGATCAGTGGAATGTGGATGGAAATACAGGATAGTCCTTGAAAACCTGTTAGAGGCCGCAAAAAGACTTGAGACTAAAATGGAGGTGGACATTTCAGTAGAATTTTGAAAATACAAATTCAAGGTTTCTATGGGATGGCTTTACAATAAAATATAAGAATGGTACAATGAAAGTCTGAAAAGAATTAGAGTTAGTAAAATGTGTATTGAGGTGGTAAATCCAAAATGATGCCACACCTTCAGATTTGTATTAATAAAAGAGATTTAAAACCATATATGATTTTCTTTTTCTTTCCGTTTTTTGTAACCGCATTATCATAGAAAAATCCCAATTTTCTGCACTGAAAATAGTAATTTATACAGAGACACATTTCAAAAGGAATGAAACTGTTAGTAAGGACTAAGAAAAAGAATGCTTGAATTTTAAGAAAAGCATTCCAAGTGAGGAAATTACAAGTATTGCAAAAAAAAAGGGGGGGGGGGGGGGGGGGAGCCAAATAGACTTCTGTACCCAGACAGGTAGATCCTCATAATGCCGTAGAAGACTGAAGGGTCCACATATACTGTGAGAAATAGTATTTAATTAAGGGTTTTATTTTTAAGTTAAATGTCAAGCATTTAAAATCAAATTCTTACCATGCATCAGTTTAAGTGCATCATTCATGTCCTGTATAGACTGACTTATGTTCCCCAGGGCTTTGGCCACAGCAACTGTGTCACCACTTCTGACACCATTGATGACTGTGGGAATGCTCTGAAACACAGTTTCACAATAATTTTTTTCTGAGACCTCATAATTTTCAAGTAATTTTTAGAGATGATTTTCATAGTCCTCTGTCAGGCGATCACTTAAAACAGAGCTTGATATTTGTTATTTCAAGTAACGTATTTGTGATACATCTTCACCCTTATGGCAGGCACTGCTGCAAGCTCCACCAGCAGAGTGACCAAGAAAAAACCTTTGACACTGTCACCACCTGGGAGTCTGACCAGCAACTCCAGGTTCCTGTGTGGCAAAGAAAAAGCATAAGCGAAAATATTCCTGAGGAACAGAAGTAGAGGAAAACCAAAATACAGAATACTCACTCCATGTTAAAAGGTCTGATATTTCAGTTAAGAAGAAAAACACAAAAAGAGAAGCAGAATAATTTTAAAGAATCAATTTCTTTTTATGGTAATATAATGATAAACATTTATTTTGTTACCCCTCTGGATCTTTCTTCCTCCAGTTAGCTAATACTGCATCTGCATGGGTGAGTATTGGGGGAAGCCCTAAGCGCTGTGATACCTCCCAGTAAGGGACAGCCAGGTTTCTTGGCAGCATCTTTATTGAAGATTGTCAAAAAAGAATAACCTCAAACATGAATTGATCGGAGACAAATGAATGAGAAAAAGGGAAATTGCATCACCTTAACAGTATTATTTTCACCCTCCTGCCACACGTAGCCCATGGTGATCATGCTAAGAACCAGGTGGGCAAGCCGTAATTCTCTGTGGCTTTGGAGGAACTGGGTGCTCAGCAGCGGCATCTGGAAAACATGACAGCTCTGAGGAATCTTGCAAATAATTAGCAGTGAACTCTGCTTGGCAGTTTATTGTCACCTTTTACCTGGTTAATATGGGAGCGCAGCTCATGACTGTTCACAAATTCTGGCACACGTAGGGCAATATACATCCATGGCTGGTAAAAAGGTGGAAGAGTTTCCTGAAAGAGTTTAAGTGTCGGGACAAATCAAACAAGTATAAATCAAAATGGCAAAAACACGGCAATAAAACTTTATATCTGACGTTTATTTCTGCAGTGAGCTTGGCGCACAATGGGAGAATTGGATATTGAACAAGCAAAGCCTGCTTCTTTGGAAAAGTCTATTCAGAAATCAAATATTAGCTGAGTGTATTTATGCTCATTTTTATCAGTTAGTTTCATTCACTGCTTGATAGAATTCAGAGTTTTGTAAATCATGAAGATAAAGGCAACAGTTTTTGTTGTTCTGCATGGACTTATATCAGTACAAGTGACAGTTTGTAATTTACAGCCCAGTTCTGAATTGCACTCAGTCTCAAATACCTAGCATTTCACACAGACTTTCTGGATTATGATCAAAATGATCAGAAGAGCTATTCCTACCTACCAGAGGGTCTTGAAGCACAAAGCCCAGTTTCTCTGAAACATAGTAGGAGTCCAGTGAGAAGGGAGCTCTGTGCTCTGTCTCAGTTGAAGCCATAGAGAAATTAAGACAGGAAAGAGACTGAAACTGTCTCAATTGTGCAGGAGAATCCAACTTGACTGGACTGGACTCTGGCACAAGCTGTTGTCATCTACAGTTACCGCTTACACAACAGTTATCCCTGACATTACTGTTGCACAATTCCAAGTAAAGTGTTGTGAATCAATACCTGGCTTCATTTTGTGAATCATTTAGTAACTCTTCTATAAACATCCAATACTGAGAAACTAACCTCAGTATATGAGATATGATAATAATAGCAAGAAGATTAGAACTTAAATCCACTGTTCTTTAAAAGGGATGGGTTAATCAGATAATTATTTAAAGAAAGAATACAGTTTGTGCTTACTTGAAGCTTAATAAAACTTAGTCAGGGCCTTTTACCTGCTTTACTCAAACAACACGACATATATACGATAGATGATGATTATGAAAAAGAATGGAATTCCAGGAATGAGTGTAAGTGAGAAAACATGATCAGTAGTTCCACATAAACCTAATTTCCATGAACTGACATCAGATCTCACTCTCCTGGTATTTCAAATGTATATTTTTCAATTGACTGGTGTGATTTCAGATTTATTTTTAGACAAATCAGGGTAAATCTGTTCACATATACCGGTTGCAGCGAAGGACAAAACTATTCCACAAACACATGAATACCCAGAGGTCTGTTAATGTAGTGGACAGAGGAGAAGCATTGGATCCAGCCATAAGGTGCAGCTGCTCCCTGTCAGCATCAAAGGGACAAGTGCTTGGACATAAAAAATTGGTGAGGGTAAATTAAACTTTAGGAGCAACATGAACAACATAAAAGCAGTAAACATTTGGCAGAAGAAATAAAAAATTTGCATATCAATCTGTTTTCCCACTGGTAAATAGGTAGCGGCCCATTTTGTTCTTAACCGACTATCCATAAAAACAACACATAAAACGTTAAAGTTAAAGGTATTGTGGAGAATGTTCTTTTTCTGGGTGGATCATCAAAATAAGTGGTCAATAATTGTCAATCATTCTGGTGATATGTTTACATAAGGCTGTCGTCCCCATTTTCACTTATCGGTGGTGAGTCTGACATAGTGGAAAAATTGCAAATCTTCTTTTGGAAAGTAAGCTTGTATGAGCGATGCAAACAGCAGCTTTTAAACAGTGTGCATGAGGAGAAATGGGCTTGTGCATGCTCACGTTTAATAGGCGTTCCCTCTCGGGAGCGGCTACAGGGTTGTGCATGTGCAATAGGGAGAGGACAGGTCCACTATACCTTTAAAAGATTCTCAATAAACAAAAGACAGATACAAAGGGTTTGCATACATTAAAAGAATTTCGTTTCTGCAGCAGGTAAATATTATATTGGCCTATTTTTGTAATATCCTCTGTATTTTTTCACATTTTACTTCAGAGTCAAATATTATGCCAAAGCACTTATACGTCTCTCCAGTTTCAATCTTTGCACTGTGGATGATACTACTATCATGTTGTTTTGTAGCATTTTCACCAAAATCAATCATCTTTTTCTTTCTTTCTTTTTTTTTTTTTTTTTTTTGTTACCGGTACATTAAAGTACAGGTGATTCTCTCCACACCATATGGAGAAATCAAAGGCAAGCCCTGATTCAGGTAAAAAGGTCAGCAGGGTGCTGTCATCAGAGAACTTAATTAGATAACCATCCCCACCCCCCAGCTCTGTAGGGGTCTGTGTACATGATGTACAAGGGAATTGAAAGGATACAGCCATTAAAATATGACTGCTCCCTTTAACCTGCTGGGCTGAGTAATAAAAAAGTAAAAGCAGGAATAAAATCTACATGGAAAGGATTAATTACGATGCTAAACGTTCAAATAAAATATGAGGTTGCATCTAATTAAAAACAGAAGAAATATCTGCCAATAAATTCTGGCATGGGTTCCTGGTGTTTCACAATTCTGATGTATTTTGTCCAATATACAATCTTTGCATCATCTACTCCCTTTACTTTTTGAAATATTTAAACTGTAGTGGATCTTGGATAGCTGTAAATAAGGCCAAGGTTGATTTCTACGAGGATCTTTTCAAAGTTTTTCATAACAAGAGATGTGGAGGAGAGAGGTCTAAACTCATTTAATTATTTTGATATTGGTTGAAGATAGAGAGAAGCATAAAAAGATTATGCAGAAGTCAGCATTCCCTCATTAGTGACATAAAATCCTGTCAATCTTGGGCTGTTTCGTTTGAACAATTCCTTTTCCAGGGTGGAATAATTATTTTACACAAAACTGCAGCAACTAGATGTTTACACAGTTTCCTTATCTCAAATCCAGTCTACTGAAATATATTGGTTTCCTGCCAGAGATCAAAGAACAGTTGAGAATTTTTCAGTAGGACATATTGTCAAGGCCATTGCAGAATTTTTATTTTAGCCTGCTTTATCCATTCATAAACAAATTTTTAAGTATGTATGGGATTATTGCCCTGTTGTAATAGCCAACTGTGCCCAGATTTTAAACAATCTGACAAACTATCAGCCTCAAAGGAAAATAAATTGTTCATTAACTCCTTAGGAACCACCTAGGCTTAAGCCAAAGTTGTCAATTTGCTAAGCATCTTATGGTCAGACTAGCAAAGACTGAGTTAATTGACTTAAAGAAAGTATTATATGACTTTCAAGTGTAATATTACTGCATCTGTAAAGCACCATGGTGTAAATATTATTCTGACAGTCTAATAATTGTTAGGGCTACTGCATGACAAAAGAAGGAGGAAATCAACAAGCACCTTTTATCAATCAATCAATCAATCAATAAATCAATCAATCAATCAGTCTGTATTATTAGATTGAATTGTTTCTGTATAAGGCCTTGAGATGTCATCTGAATTGCTGCAACATGTGGACAAAATTATTGGCACCCCTCGTTCAATCAAAGAAAAATCCACAATTGTCACAAAAATAACTTGAATCTGACAAAAGTAACAATAGAAAAATCTATTAAAATGAAAAACAATAATGAAAGTTTTCACTTTTCAATCATACTTCAACAGAATAACTTCAAAAAATAAGGTCATGAAACAGGCCTGGAAACAATGGTACGTACCCTTTACGAAATATTTTGTTGCACACCTTTTGACACACAATCACTCCTGTAACTATCAATGAGACATCTGCATCTCCCAGCAGGTATTTTGACCAAGGAAATATCAGTTAGCTATGAATAACAGCCTGCTTAGAGAATGCTTATATTCAGCATATATTAGAAAATGTATGCATAATGAGGACCCTGTGTGGTTTAAAGAAATTCTGGGGGACATTTAAAAATTTTCCTCAAAAGATATTACTTTAGTTTTTTTTTTTTTTTTGTTTGTTTGTTTGTTTGTTTGTTTTTTGTTTTTTTTACATTTTACTCTGTGTATTCATTGCTAAATAAGGAGAATCACAGACATGTTGAGCAACAGCATCATCTAGTGGAATAAACCGCTCAGTGCAGATATTTTAACTTGATTAACTTAAAAAAAAAAAAACCAAAGAAACTCTTTACTAAGTGTTTCTTCCTGGACTTTGGCAAACTGAACTAATTAATGTAATATGATTATTTCTTATATGAAAATCTTGAACTTTTAGATACAATTTTTAGTTTGTTTAAGCTTTAACCACTAATCAGCATTCAGGTCAGTTACAGAAATTGTGGTATTTCTTATCTAGAGATAAACCTGCAGTTAAAGGAAAACATGCTAAGATATTCCAGGTATAAAGGTCAACTGTGATGCTCTTTATTTGGTCCTAACACACAGTAAGACATATAAACTAATATCAATTTGACTGTATGATCTGGTTGAACTGTGCCTTGAGATGACATGTGTTGTGAATTTGGCGCTATATAAATAAACTGAATTGAATTGAATTGAATTAAACATCATATTTCAGTCATTAAAATCGGTGTCATTGAAAAAAAATCCCTTTCTATTCAGAAATCAAGTCTTTTACTTTTTTAGTTAAAAGCATTGTCAGTGCTCTGCAGGGTTATAAATATGTGATCAATTAAATTTGATGGTACATAATTGGAATTGAATTGAACATTTATCTGAATTTGAGAATATTTAGATTGATATAGCCTGTAGTTGGGGTGATCTGTATTAAAATTCAACATACAAACTAAACATATAAAATGCAGAGATACATTTATATTTAGTCAAAAATAAAATAGATAAAATAATGATAGTATAAACAGCCACTTAGAGCCAGCATAAGGAACAGGGGGACTGGTTAATTGCTCAGGGCCTCTTTTTAAGCAAAAACTTGTAAAATTCATATACTGATAATAATTCCTTAAGAGAAACTTAATATCAATAACTTAAAAATATAACATGCAAATTAACTTAGTCAGACCTTTTTCCTGATTAAATAGGTTAATATATGATGTAAATCCCTTTATTGTCCACATGGAGAAATTCATTCTGCATTTATCCCATCCCATTAGGGAGCAATGGGCTGCCATTGTGTGGCGCCCAGGGAGCAGTGTGGGGTTAAGGGTTTTGCTCAGGAACCCAGAGTGGAGGCTGTGGGGATCAAACAGAGTACTTGTAACCTTCTTAGAGCACAAGCGTACTGCTCTAACCACTAGGCAAACACTCCTCCTTAATAACCAGTCTAGCTACTTTTATGCTTCGCTATCCTACTCTTTTTCTAGCTTCTTTTTTTTAAGAAACAACAATATTTTCTTTGTGGTTCTAGAAACAAAAGAAAACATTTTTTTTTTGTATTAAAGCAAAACTGATTCAAAATTTTTAAAAGGACACTGTGTGAGATTTATCACCATCTAGTGGTGCACTAAATGACAAATGACAGGCTGGTGCCTCCTCTATATGCAGGTGAGACCTTCTATTGAAGCCGGGGGGTGCCATCTACTTACAGCAGCTAATAACTGTTGCATCCAAGCTCATTCAATGTAGGCTAACAAACTACTGGTAGCTGTCTGTGCCTTGCTTCTAACATAACAGAAAATTAAACTTCACTATTATATTGAATTACTTTACCTGTCCAGCAGAAAGCCTGCAAACCTTCGTTTTGAAGTTTGCTGCCTCAGTATTTGTTTCCATCTATTAAAATCTGCTAAGGTGTTGTTTTT